AAAAATCATAATCATAAAAACTCATAGTCATGAATCATGAATCATGAACCATAATCATAATAATCATGAATCCTAACCAGAATCGCAATTAAAAACAAAAACCTAATAGTAATAATAATGATCATTAAAAAGCCATGAATCCTAACCAGAATCGCAATTTGAAAAAAAAACTAATAGTAATAATAATGATCATCTGAGGGCCCGGCCGCCCGAGGTCCTGGGGTGCCAAGGCCCGGTGCTGAAGGTCCTGGACTTCAGAGCTTCGGACTTTGGACTTTGAAGACTAGGGTTTGTAGGTTTTGGGGTTTCGGGTTTAGGGAATATGATTTATGATATTAAAACTAGCGTCCTTAGTCCTCAGGGTTATAGGGCTTAGGGTCCTGAGGATGGGATTACATGGAGGATCATGGGACTTAGTAAGTATGGTTATAAGTACCTTAGTTGGGGTTATAAGTGGCTATAAGTATAGTTATGCTAATACTAACCTTAGTTATTAAGTCCCAATGATCCTTTAAGTAGGGTTGTAGGGTTTGTAGGGTTTCGGGTTTAGGGTTTATGATATAATACTAGAGTTTGGGATTTGGGGTTTGGGATTTGGGGCTTGGGGTTTGAGGTTTGGGGGTTTAGGGTTTTTGGGATTTGGGGTTTGGGGTTTGGGGTTTAGGGTTTGGGCTTTTCGGGTTTTCGGGTTTTAAGGGGGTTCCTTTAAAGGGTATTGTAGGGTTCTATTTAAGGGCTCTTGTGGTGGGAACCCCGTGGAAGCCGAGCCGCCTCACACTCGCGGCACTTCTCTCGGAGCTGCTCCCTGGCATCTCACCCCCAGGTGGCAGAGGGAATCAGGTCCAGCGTCGGTCTACATGTGAGGGCTGGGTTTCGGGTTTAGGGGCGATTTTGGAGCTCGGTGTCCTGGAGTCTGGGCCCTGCGAATCAAGTTGGAAAGTATTGGCTCTCCGAATAGCGCTAATCGTACTACTGACGGTACCGCTAGCCGCAACGACCTGGGGCGGGCCTTAAACGAGCGGCTTCTGCGGAGACCTCGGCGAGCTGGCAGTGGGGATCCGTTTCTTTGGGGGGCCACATTTTAGGATGCATCAGGCGAGTCTGAAGTTCCTCACGGTGTGGGGACCCTTGCTAGACCTGTTTTCGGTGGGAGGGCCTTTCGAGCAAGCTTGGCGCGGGGGGTGGGGGGGGGGGGGCAGCTTGAAAACCTGCCACAATTCTCAGCCCACGTGCGAGCACCAGGAGCTTCGGGGGCACTGAGGCTGCCAGGATTGTGACGGGTGGAAGGTGCGTCGCTGCTAGGAACCGACACATGTGCTGTGCACAATCTGGTTGTGCCTAGGGCACATGGTACTTTGTATAGCATCACAGCGTCCTGCAAAACAGCACTCAGGACCCCCGCTCATGTTTCAAGGGGTGGGGATCGAGTCCTGTGATGAGCGATCTGGAGGTCCTTGTCTTGTGAGGCAGAGCATCCCCGGCCTTGGCTGCCTGCATCCCAGAACTCAGAAAACCATGCCCCAAAACTACACATTGACCCAAGTCCCCGAGGACCCGAACCTTGCGCATCGCGTCAAACTGCTCTGCCTCGTGCCATCCAGCAGGCATTAGGGTCTGTAAACAATCACGGGAAGCAGAGGGTCTGCCTAGCTTGAGGCTTTAAAATACTTCATCTACATGCAAATCTCAATCGCACACTGTCGGGATTACAAAACCGTGACGTCAACATGGTCTCATCCCCATGAATCATACCGAGTATGCCACATTGACCATGTCTTGAATTCCAGGAGCAGATTTGCAAAGCACGCAAAAGCGCTAGGGACCTAGAGAACCTCAGCTTGAAGCAGACCAACTGTTTGACGACTTTTAGGGTTTAGGATTTATTAGGGTTTAGGGTTTAGGGGTTTAGGGGTTTAGGGTTTAGGGTTTAGGGTTTAGGGTTTAGATTTAGGGTCTAGGGTTTAGGGTTTAAACCCGGACTGTTTCTGCTATCCACTGACGACTTCTTCACACCAAGCACAACACTCTGGACTCTGGCCACCCACCTCGAAACCTCGACTCGAGGCTCTAAAGCCCCAAATCGTAGAAGCATGTACCCCAGAAGCTCTCCAAGAAGAATCCACTGAGGCATGAACTCCAAAAGGCTTCATAAACCCTAAACTCCCAAACCCTTAAACGCGCAGCCCCAGTAACCCCAAGTCCTTGAACCCGAAACCCTCAAACACCCGGAAGACATCCCCATTGCCAAAGCGACCCTGGAAGTAGCCCTGAGCGTAACCCCTACAATAGCCTTAGAGTTAACCTTAGAGTAAACCTGCCAGCGCGATTCTAGGATCCTAAACCCTAAACCCTAAACCGAAACCCTAAACCCTTAATCCCAAGCCCTGAACCCTAAACCCTAAACCCTAAACCCTAAACCCTAAACCCCTAAACCCCTAAACCCTAAACCCATAACCGTTTTATGAACCCCTCTTTGGAGGAACGCGCCTGCTCCTGCCGTAGCTTTCGGCCCAGGGAGTCCCGGTCCTCTTGGAGACGCTTGTACCTGGGACGTTTGGGTTCTTTTGTTGAGGGGGTTTAGGAATTAGGGTTTAGGGTTTAGGGTTTAGGGTAGGAATTAGGGTTTAGGGTTTAGGGTTTTTTGGTTTTGGGGTCTGGGGTTTTGGGTTTCAGGCTTCGGGCTTCGTGTGCCACAAGCTGGGCGTTTTGGGGTTGGGTGGACCCTACTTGGAGGCTCATGGGACTTAGTAAGTATGGTTATAAGTACCTTAATTGGGGTTATATGTAGTCATAAGTGTAGTTATCCTAATACTAACCTTAGTTACTAAGTCCCATGA